CATTATGATTTAAAATTTAGTACAATAATGGTAAGTATATTATTCCGGTTTTATTGATATTAGGTTTGTAAACATTAATTAAGTTTTGGATTTTTAAATCGATATTAAACATTCAAATTACCTTTTCTCAAAACTACAATAAAACACTTGGCCAGTTTTGGCATGATGGCGACGATATAGTCCTATATACCTTTAGTTTGCACCTGCAGCCTCCTGTACTTGACAGTCCATAATACYTGTAAGCGATAAAATGTGAGAATATACTGATCGTGATTAAATAACACATTACACGTAAACCCGTATCAATGATTTTTGTTAAGTATTGAAATTATATACCTAAGTATTAACATTGATTAAATATTTAATTAATGGTATTAAGTACCTAGTATCATTTTTTCTTTTATTAAATAAGATATTTATAATCTATTAACTATAGCACGGAGACAATTAACTAAAACAATAGTACATTTTTTTGGCACATGGTAAGAAAAGAGAATTTTTGCATGCAKTAAGTGCACGATTAACTTGTGAAGGAAACTTTTTTTTAATGGCACTTGAGAGATATGACTGTACAAAAAACTGAATAAAATTTAAAACTCTATACAACATAATACCTAGGTAACCAAAATGTGTTACACGAATATAATTTGCCGAATACATGACGCACTCCAATATACAGGTAATCCCGCTAAGGTCTAAAGCTTACCAGTTAACTATAGTGGGTGGGGGGCAGTGAAACGAGAAGGAATATTTTATATTTATGAGTAACATAAAACGTGATGAAATGAACACAAGACCGTATTTTTATGTAATTTGGTCAAAAAATGTCTTGACTTATTCTTATGATAAAAATAAATTGTATAGTATATTTTTTCACCACACGGTAAAAGTAAAATTCATTGATGGACAGTAGGTACTTAAATTGATTTTTAAGTGACAATTCCGTCATTTTTAATATTAATTACGATATTAATATCGTCTTTATTATTAACACACACAMACACGAATTTGTCCAGCAATTTTTACCAGCAAACGATAAACGACAAATTATAAATGATAAGTTTGTCGTTTGCTACCACCCATTACTGCGACTTGCGAGTAGTTATTCTGTAGTTAATTATTAATTATTGTGCTATAGGTACATTCAATTGTGTACACTAAACATATTGTATACCTAACTGTATATAAGTATAAGTATTATTGTATGTGTTTGGTGTTTGTATATTATATAATATAGTCTAATATACTAAGAWATTTTGTAAAAATTTTAGATAATTCAATACAAATATGTCCAATTATGAATATACGCCAGACAGAGCCCAGGTCCGTAGACAGACCAAATCTCAGGTGGGGCCAACCACTTAAGGGGGAATTATATATAAAAACAATATTAATTTCTAATATTTTTAAAGGGGACAACGATTAGATTTAAGAAGGGCAACAACACATCATGCTCACCGTATCTACGGACCTGGATAAGCCCTTACCATATAGTTACAATTGTTAACAATTATTGGTAAATGCACAATTCGTTATCGTATATTATGATTAATGAATAATACAAAAAAAAATTATACATAGATTATTAGGGATTATAGGTTACACAGTTTAATACATCTCTACATATTCACGTATAATCACGGACTAAGATTAATATTATAAAATATTATAAAATATTATAAAATTTATCTTAGTCCGTGCGTATAATGTATGCGAAAAGTTTTGTTAAATTGTTAGTAAATAATACTAATTTATTTGTTTACTTATAAATTTATAATGTTCATTGGAAATTTACTTAAATTGGTAAATTTAATAAAAAGTATTTTATTTTGTTAATAGGTTGTTTGTACCTATTTGTACTATTTGGATTGTTATATTTTTGTTTCATGAAGATTACTTGCACTTCAAAGTTCAAAGCAGTTTAACAGTCACATTGTGACTTTTTAATTTCCATTTAACATATCAAATTAAGCCACGATGTAGAGAATTATGTCGTGGATTTAACCATCCGACAATTATTATTCCACCAATCACCATGCCAATTGCCAACCAAGGTATCGTGCCGAGTCCACAGTGATTGTACCGCGCCATCTAGTAGTAATTTTTAGTAACTACAAACTACTAATTTAGAATTCTTAGGCGTAAGATTTAAGATTATATTATGAAATATGAATAATGGTTGTACCTTACAAAGTTATTACACTAATAATTTATAATATTATACACATGAGTTCATAACACAATACTCCGATTATTATGAGTTTTTTTATTTTCTAAAAATCRAGATGTTTCAACAATAGTATTCAGTAGGTAGCGCCAAGTGGAATCACAATTTAGWGAAAAACTTGAGCGCCGCCGMTTGTGGGTATTATTATTATTWTACTACATCATCTCAAGACTCAASATGAAGATGTCACTTTTGTTTATAGTTGTGAGGAATGTATTGAAAAAGGAGACGAAGATAATGAAAAGAGAGTTAATGATTTTTAATTTTTAATATCCACGACGAAACGTACGAACATATAATTATCGCATTACAACGACGACAGTTGTTCAGCTTGAGGAATGGTTTTGATGGTCGAGATTTGGGAATAGTAATTTTACTGAACGTAGACAGATGGACGGCCAAAGTATCCATTGTATAAGGCTCGACTGTAATCTTTAGATAATAATAATAGTTCATCRCGATACACATAATATTATATATTATAAGATTTATGGTTGTGGAGGCCCCAGAGCCCACATAAGGTTAAAATATAAGAATTTTTAGTTGATTTACATGCTTTAAAACTTTAAAATTATATTACTGATGGGTATCCCCATCCCCTCATCATGATATTAATTTCTTATCTAAATCATTTATTTGCTAATTACTAGAAAAATTAAAAAAAAAGGTTATCATTTTGTGGGGGCCTCTTATTAATTGAATCTTGTAGGGCCCCCTTCTTAAATCTGGCCCTGCGTTTATTTGGTTTATTGTACGAYGTAGGGAACTRGAGAAGATGTCGAGATATTTTTTTAGAGTATTCTCTATAGTGGTTTATTGATTATATATATCACGATGTGTTATCACAATAAATATCACGGGTGGAGTTATSGTCGTCTTATCTCGCCGAATTGCCAAATTTTTTTCTTTATAAAATCACGGATTGTGAAGAGTGAAGACGTGAACAATTTTAATATTTAAGTAGTCCATAAGTATACTGWTCTATGGTTCATAATAAAACTATTGTTCTGTGCTATAATACAATTATATCATGTAAAAATCGATGCTAATCGTGACGTCAAGCAATCGATCCGTCATCGACGCCCAAATAATATCGTACCTGTAACGAGACCAAAAAATCATTGCAATGGGTCTCGAACGGACGGCAAAGCAAGTCGACGACGAATTGGATGAGATTTGTGTACAAATGGTACAATTAATGGACGAATATTGTTCGTGTATCGGTCGACTGGAACATTGTTTGCGTGATGGATGCGTGCACCTAGCCAAAAGTAGGTACGTGATGGGCCACCGTAACGTGTCTGACCTACAGCTGCCAACGTCCGGTCCTTACACTGCTCGCTCGACAGTAGTGCGTGAGAAGGACACTAATGCGATCCATTTAGCTAGCAATGACACTGGAGACGAWCCCATCAAACGTTTTGGCGTTCTCGTTCCGGGTAGTTTACGCAAGGCTCAAGAAGGCTTCTGCAAATGCTTAGAGTCCACAGTTGAAGCCGCTATCATAAAAGCAGAGATGGAAAAAATTCAAGAAAATTATTCATCATTAAAGAACGCGAGAAATCAGATGACAAAAATAGTTAATAAATGAAAACTAAACAAACATTATCTAATTCCTCACACAATATTATATATTTGTTGATATTTTTTTTTCTTTTTTAATACAAATAAATGAAAAATGTTTTTAAATTAAAAAAAAAGATAAATGAGTAATTTAACCTAAACAATAACAATAAATGTGTAAGTTTAAACTTTAATAATTGGTTAGGTATAAGGTAAAGGTGATCTTCATTATTTATTAACCATCAATTATTCTTTAAAAATACATTAAATTGCATTTTTATCAATATCTTTAGATATTTTTACCACACACTTGATAGTCAAATAGTCAATCATGATAAAACTTCTTGTACGTATACAACAAAAAGAAAAGTTTTTGAAATTCCTCATGATACATGCTAAAAAAGAGATAAGTTAAAATACTTTAACTTATAATTTTATAAATAATTGATGGTTATTAAATGTATCTATTCTCTGTACATTACATATATATATATATAAAGGGTGCCTTTAAACAACTTAAATATTCTTATGATTTCTGTGATTTCGAATAGGAGCACTTGATTTTATTGTATTGTCCATCTCGTTTTTCACATAATACTGCATCCCAAACAAATGAGTTTGAGTTGAAAGGTACCTATACAAATAAATGTAAATATATTACCTTATATTTAGCACAATCATATTACACATCACTACATAACTCAATGACTTTACTCGAAGTATTAACTAACACATGAAAAGTTCAATGTGATGTCACTTTACTGATGACATTAAGAAACTACCCAAAACTGTCAAATATTATCATATTACGACTTAATATTGTATATAGTATTGGTAAAATATAAACTAATCAATTATAAAAATTAAAAATTAATAGACAATTAAATATTAATACAAACACATTTTCTTTGAATTTTTATGATTTATTTTAAAAAGTTGATACCATAATTTATTGATTTTGATTTTAAGAAACAATGTTCCAATATGCTTTAAGAGGACACACATAATTGTTGCMTCTGTCTTAATTCCGTTACCTTGAAAATTTGAGTAAATTGATCTATTATGAAACTTGATGGTAAGAATATTATCTGTGTTGGTATGGTATTATTTTACAATATCTTAGTTCATATGGGAGTAATGAGCATTTTTAATTTACACTTTTTTATATATGCATAACTTGCTACAAAATTGAACTAGATATCAAAAAAAAAAACCACGTACAAACACAGATAATGTTCTAAACATTAAGTTTTATTATAGGTCTATTCACTCTTATTTTTTAACCAACAGAGCTAAACGTGATTTGCTGACAATAATTGTGTGGCGTCCTCTTAAATAAATGAACAATAAATATTAACCAGTCTACCAGCAACACACAAAATAATATGGTATACAGCAGTATTGACAGCCTTGATATATGTTCTAAGAAAAATTAAATATTTACAGAAAAACAAATAAATTTTGAGCGAAATATTAATCTATTAAAACTAGAAATAAGGGAGTTTTAGGAAAAAAATATAAACCAAAGTTAAATAATTATTGATTCACTATATGTCATGTAGTGGATAAATAAATTGTGAAACCAACTGAACTAAATTAATTCAACATTGTTGTTAAATAAAATGACTAAGGCCTTCACATAACATCAAATCCCAAATAATAATATCACTACTATTCATTGTYAATAGTTATTGAATCAGTCAAGGCTAAGAAATATCTGTGCAGTTTCCATTTAGGTGTTATTATGTATCATGCTCCATAAGTAAAACAAATTGAATTGCTATTAGAAAAATATTTTTTTTTTATCATTAAAAAAAATTATATTATGTATTTTATTTTAAATTACGCGTTTTTTTTGTCAAATGTTTAACAAATATTATGAATCTAACAATCAATAAATTCATATGAAAAATAGTTTTTTAAAATGAAATGTACATTTTTTCATTTTTTTCAAGATTATAGTAAGGTACACATTTGTGCACAGCTTACAGTAAAAACAGCACAAAAGTTAACTTTAATATTTATATTATTTAAATAACTAATTATATTTACTTCAATAGTCCATTACTGTATGAATACACAATTGAAAGTTTTTCACCRTCCACTTCAGTGTTTGCTAATATTTTTGGCAATTTTTCTATAAATTAAAAGAAAATATATAYTTTTCTAAACAAAATCAAAACATATTTTAGTAACATTTGTCATTAGCAATCAACTCAAATATTCAAATTTTAAATCTATTACTTTATAAACAATTTTATAAATACAGAAACAATTTATGTCAATAATATTCACATTGTGCATTGAATTGATAGAAATGTGTAAAAATAAGTTTTAAAAACATCCTAAAATACATTTTAAATGTAATTTAATATTAATTTTTGTATGAATACCCAAAAGCCTTAAAAGATGGTATACACCATATACAACAGCTGGCTGTTTTATTTCTTCATCGTAAGCACTATCAGGAACAGCTTTCCAAGAGTCTGCTTTCGATACATACTCATCGCGAGCTTTTTCAAATGTGTCTTTCACAATTTTTGAACATTGAGATTTTGTTAAACTGCAAATAATATCACATTAGTTAAGTAAAAATTTGGAACAAAATATAAAATTCTATAAAATACCTGCAATCTGAACAAGTCTGTTGAGAACTAGCATATTGACTTGTTGAACTACGTGTGTTTTCCCGTTTAACTAATAATTTAAGTAAAACTTTTAATATCAAGATATTTAATTGAAAATAAAGTAAATTTTATTATTTTACCTTTGACATTATTTTTGTTTTCGTGGCTTTCYAATTCTTCGTCATTTGGTTCATTATCATGATTTTGTTCACAATTTCTTAAAAAATGATAAAATAATTTAATAAATAAATGAAAAAAAGTAAAAATAATGATTATTTAATCATACTGTGAAATAGTATTGTTTACAGGTGGTTGGATAGTCACTTTTAATGCTTCATAATATTGGGCTTGTTCGTCTTCATTTACTAACAACTTTCTGAATAAGAAAGTGTTAAAACAAATCCTCAGACCATCTAATACTTCTACACAAATTATGTAACTAAATAAATTTAAAAAAACATAATTATTAATTTAATTTTGTACAGGTAACTACAATAAACGGGAGTTAAAAATGAAAATGCCAAAGGACAATAAATTAGGTGTAAATAAGTATTATGTAACAATTTATTTAATACTAAAAAATATAAACAAACCGTTTTTCTAGTTGTCTTTTGTCAAGTACTTCAGGTTGACGTTTTTTTTTGGTTGCTTTATTGTCACTGAAGTTATTTCTTGCTAAATACCTAAGGTAACTTTCAAGTAATGTAACCACATTAGGTTGACAAGGTAACTGAACCAACTAGAATCATATTAATTGGATAATAATAAAATAACAGTCTTAGAAAATATCTGGCTTAACTTAATAATTATTTATTTATTTATTTCTTACTGTATTCTTTTCGTGTACTAAATAACAATTATATCCAGTATGGAATTTTAAATTATCTGGAAATTCAAGGTCTGGTAACCTTCTTTTAGGTAATAGTATTGTATCAATAGGTACTGGTACATTTTCGTCTTCCACCATAGACTTATCATCTATGGCAATTATAGCTGGCTCTATTACTAAAGGTTTGGGTTCGGGCTTAATTACTCTTTTCTTCCGTTCTTTTCTGTACAAATTTCCACCACTGAAACAATAGAATCGTTTTAACTTTTTCGGTTTTTTTCAGTTATAATACAATACTTACGGCGTAAGCTGAGCTTCTTCGGCCAGTTCTTTTTGAAGTTTGCGATTTTCTTCTGTATCTTTCAGTATGAACTCATCAGTTACATATCTATCCCATGTGGAATTCCATCCCTAAAAAATGCATTTACATTTTTACTAGTAGAAATTTCAAAAGTATATTAAACTTACTTGAAAATGAATGAGAAATTTGCAGAATTTGCGACCTTGCTCATCTTTTTCAGGTACTACTTTTAAAACCTAAATGCAAAGAAATGAAAATGATTAATTAAAACGCTGCGAGTGGAGTGGTACGTGAGTATTTGATTACTTTAGAGTCGTAAAGGACTTTCGTTTTCGCAGGGTCTGGTTCGTAGCACAGTACTTTTTCGCCTTCTTCAAATTTGCATTTAGTCAATACTTTTTTTGCAGCCATTGTTAACGATCGACATTGCCACAACGAAGTCAACGAGGACTAAGCGGAATTTCTCTTACACTGTCACCATAATGTTCGATATAAATCAATATAAGTATTAACTATTTGAAACAATGACACACAAATTCAATACGAATTACAATTTATCAGGATTTTATTTTAGAAGTAAAACACTAAAACAGTATCAACTCGTTTTTTGAAAACACCAATTTCTTATCACTACGCGCTACTATCACTTATCAAGGACGCCATTCGGTGTGACCACTAACAAAACGTTTTGTTATTGAATTTGGAACAATGAATTTATCATAGATTTAGAATAAGGTCTATGGATTAATTAATATCTATCTTTTAAGAAACCATGACAAAATACATTGGAAGTAATAAAAATTTGGAAATCGCCGTACAATTTTTGGTCAGACCGAAGCTCTAATGTCTCCAGCTGACGAAATTTGTTATTGACTTATTGCTTCCTATATCTACTCCGAAACTTCCGGTTAGATCTTCATTAAAATATTCAACTTTAAATACGTATAGGTGTATTGTTTATTAGGCATCTATCTAAATACCTAAAAGATGAATAGATTAGGTATTAAGTTCGGCGTTTTTAAATGTTGTATTGCTATCATTAACCTAACTATGAATAATTTATTATAAGAACTAACTAACAAGTAACAAGTAACAACACGTCTAATGTAAATAATGTAATATCTAAAATTAAAATCGTCCAAATGTTCAAAATAAATGGTTGTCACTGTCGGTAACATCTAAAAATAATTTGATCAATTATACAGAGTGATTGATTTATCAAACAACACTCATTATTATTGATTATTATTTCAGTATTGACTTTTTTCAAAATATTTTTTTACATGGTTTCGAGTTGTTAAAAGCCAACGTTTTTGTTAAAAAATTATATTTTTAAATATTTTTTATCCTTATCATTTTTTATGTTTT